GTGGGAGCTGTCCCTGCCCATGGAAGGGGGTGGCACTGGATGATCTTTAAGGCTCCTCCCAACCCAAACCCTTTCATGGTTCTGTGGTGCCACATTAAACCAACAATGGATCACCCACTCAAGGGAAAGGGATGGGGTCTGTGCTGACACTGTGAAACAGAAATCTTCCCCTCCTTCTCTACCCAGTTTGTGAAGGAGTAGAAAAAGTTGCCACACCAAAGCTGATGAGCTCAGCCAAGTGTGCAGGGAAGGAATGGAGAGACAGCAAATATCCCAGCTCAGGTGTGACAGGGCCTGATTCTTGGGCTGGCATTCACACCATGCTCCCACAAACCCCTGGTGTTTCCCATGACCCAACATAACACTGATCTTGGACACTTCTGACAGCTGGGGTGGCCAAACCTCTGGGATGGCAAAAAAAAATTAAAAACTAAAACAAAATGAACAAACAAACAAACAAAAAAAAAAAAACCCCACAAAAAACCGAAAACAAAACAAAACCAAAGCAAACAAAAACATTAAAAACAAAACAAAAAAAAAATTCCACCAAAACCAATCCTTGACCTAATGGTAAAGATTTATCTGAGGTCAAGGGTAATTACATCTGCAAGGGTCGACTCAGTCTGAGTCATTTTTTGTGATACCTCCTTCCTGAGTTACCCCACGTGTCCTTCCCTGACCATTTCCAAGAACAACAGCCATTCCAATCAAGTGTACAGGCCACAGCTAAAGAAACGAGGAATTTAATCCTACATTCAAATCTGTAATTTCTTACAAAAAACCCACAGTTTTGCTGATTTATCAGGGTCTAAACTACATTGTACCCTTGATTATATTTGCATAGAAACCTACACAGACAGGAAGGCTTAAAGCCAACACTTACATGAGAAGATCCTGCTCAGGAGAGGTTTCCCAGAATGACTGGGTTGGAAGAGACCTTAAAAATCATCCAGTCCAACCCATGCCCTAAGACCTAAACTAAACCATGGCACCCAGTGCCACATCCAGGCTTTTTTTAAACACATCCAGGGATGGTGACTCCACCACCTCCCCAGGCAGCCATTCCAGAACTCTATCACCCTTTTTTCTGTAAAAATCTTTTTCCCCATATCCAACCTACATTTTCCTTGGTGCAGCTTGGCTTGTCACAACATCACAAGGTTCTGGGCAGGACAGTAGCACAGTGGATGCTAAAGGTGCAGGAGATTGCTTTGCATTCTTTAGGATGTCAAAGCTTTACGGTGTGAAACAGCAGCTGCAGCTGAGACTACTGTGAAGCAGAAGAGGCTCTGCCTCGGAGTGCCACAGACTCCAGCAAACCCCCGAGCAGCCTGAACGCTGTTCCCTGGAATGCCCTCACGTTTCCCGCCTGTCCCCTGCCAGGCCCCAGCAGCCGGAGTGCACCTATGAGAACTGCGAGCACAGGCACAGCCAGAGCCGGCCCCGGCGCAGCTGAGGCACCAGGGAGCACAGAGCCAGCCCTGCCTGAGCCAAGGGGCCACACTCACCAGCCTCGGCGAGGATGGAGCTCCAGCATCTCCAAGGTCCCTTCCACCATGCTGTGAGCTCCAGCTGCTGTGAGCTCCAGCCCTGCTTCTCCTCACAAGTGACGGCAGCCTTTATCAGGAAAAGAGAAGAGTGATGGAGCTGGAAGGGCAAAATGTGGTCAGTTGTAACCTATCTGTGTTTTTAGCCCCTATCAAAAGTTTAGGCAAGCAGGCAACAGTATACAATAGTATAAAATTGCCTCAGAGCTTTTTGCTTTGGCGTTTTTCAAACATTGCTCTGAAAAGCATTTTTACCACTCTGCTTCTCCAACCGCATCCAAGTGGGCTACTGACATGATGGAAATCCTTGCTGTGGCAAAAACGCTACTGGAATTTCTGAAGGGGCTTGTTCCTTTTTTAAAATTATTATTTCTAAACACACAGGAGAGTTTATTTTAAAGGAAACCTTAACTTTAAAGAGGACTCCAAACAAAAAGACATTTTCCACAAACTGAAAGCAGGACATGAGAAGTCTAAACTAGTCTGTGTTCTAACTCTGCTTCAGCTCCTGAAACTCAGACCTTTGTGATAAATGTTCCAATATGCAAATTGTTGGGTTGTTGTTTTTTTTTTCTTTTTAATAGCTAAAAAAATATTTCTCAACCATTTCCATCTCTGTGTTGCACAAAGGAGTTTCTTTAAGGTCTGACTACTCCTTTTTAAATCTCTCTCTTTTGAGATGAAGCCACTACTGCAAAATCACAAAGCCCACAAAGTCACAAAGGCCAACCACGGAGAAATCTCCTACCCAACTGTGAACATCCTCCAAAATCAGGTGAACAAATTCAGCTTATGCTATAGAGCAATGTGGGTCAATCTGGAGAGGCAGGCAGAGGCCCAGGGCAGGGCTGGAGCCAGCACCAGGCTGGCTTAGATGAGAAGCAGGAGAAAGAATTAAGAAAGAGCAGGTGGCTTGACCTTACTTTCACATTTATACTGCTGGATTTGATGCTCTGTGCAACCACCCCAGTGCAGCAGCTCCAAAACTGCTCCCCAAACAATCCTGCTCCTGGTAACAACCACCAAACTGCTACTGAAATACCATCAAGCTTGCAAACTCAACCCCAGGCTGGGAATCATTATTTTAAAGTTCACCTCTTCATAAGATCTGCACTGGGAGAGCAAAGCAGAATTTTAAATTACTTGGCCAGAACAATAAGGGGGGAAAAGAAAAAATAAATGGGAGGATATATTTGAACCTGATCTTTTAAATCCCTGATTAAAATTCCAGCAATGACAAAGCCAGATTTAATAAAATATAAAGAGATGCAAAGAGAAAAGGGAAGTTACAGCAGACAGTGCAGTCACAGACCTGTAAGCTCAGTTTCAGAGGTGTCACAGAGGAAAGATACCTCAGAGATATCAGTTGGACAAACTGAATCGCATTTCTGAGCCCTTATGATTTACAGACATATAGTAATGAGAACTCACTCTACCTGTGCATGGGATTTAGGCTTGGCTTTCTGAATTTTTTCTCTAAAAAATTACTTCTTTCACTCAAGTAGTTTGGGTCCAAATAGAAGCATCAGACCTCGTGTCCCAACACCAACTGGTTCCCCCTGGTCCTCATGGGAGAATCAAACACTCAAACCAGTATAAACTGGAGGCACAAAACACAGCAGTGCACCCATCAGGATGCTTCTGGTATTGAACTCATCTGGGAAATGCAGGGAATGCCAAAGCCCTTCCAGGAAAACTAGAAGGAATAAAAAGTCAATCAGTTGGGCACCACTTGGAAAGTGAGGCCCCAAGCTCTGGAGTTCACGTGTGCACACAGAAGTGCAACACAGGTTCAGGCTTCAGCCACTGCCACAAGATTGGTCTGCAGGGGCACATCCAGCAAGGATGTGGTGTCTGGTGTGGATCCTTCTACCAGGCTGAAAACATCACAGTGTCTGTCACCAACTGCTTGATTTTCCGTTTTTATTTTGCATGGTCTTTGCAGACAGAGCATGTTATAAATACAACATTTGTAAAAACTCAACAGCTGAAACAATTCCTCATTTCGAAAGTGCATGTCAAACACGTACTTCTGACTTCTTCACATTTATATGCAACTGATCAATAACATTTAACCTAATAAACCCAGTGCTTTTAAGTCTTTGGGGGGAAAAGCAGCAGAATGTATTCCTCCAGACATGAATTTTCCAAAAGAGTCTGTTAAAAACCATGCTGCATTGGTATCTGGTTACTATACAGAGGGATGTACATATATATATTTATTTATAGGCTCGCAGATAGAGCAAAGAACTCTAAGACCACATTGAAATGATGGTGATCTAATGACCCAGCTGGCTTTATTAGCAGAATCTGCCGAGAAGGAAAAGGTGATCTGTCCTCTAGCACCAGAACCATGGTTTAAGAGCAACAGCTCAAAGCATCATTGACCAGTAGGTAGCACATTTCTATCCCCTATTGACCAGAACTCATGTTTTAACGTGCAACCATGTCAAAAACACAAAGGCACAATTAATGGAGGAAGAGAAAAAGTGATCAGTTCCTTCACAGAGCTGTAGGGACTGGGACTGCAGGACCTTGGGCCAGCTCAAACACACCAGTGATTAAAGGGACATCAAACAAGCACCAGGAAAAATTCGCCTTCTGCTTTTCCTAAACAAAAGTGCATCTTATGATCAGACAAGGCAACAAAACCAGTGATCATTCAGCTGAAACAACAGATTTACAGGCTCATGGTTCATGCTTTGGCAACAGAATTTTAACAAGTGATCACCAAATTTAATACAACAAAAATACCTCTTCACAGTGTCATCTAAAATCCTGTTATGTCATGTCCAGCCAGGCAGAAGAAAATAAGCTTAAGTGGTGGTGGTGGTGGTGGTTAAACATTTCCTAAACAATCAGACTAAGGAATTAAGGAATCCTATTTAACATGATCCTAACTGACTGCTCCCCTCTCAGACACTGGAGATCCAGAAAATATGTCTCTGGATTTAAATCCCCTTGAACTTGGCTAGAAGTTACTTGTATTTAATCAAGCAATATAGATGCAGACACACTATGTTTAGAAAACAGGAAAAAACAATGTTCTCTAGTTCCCATTTGTGCTGATATTTACAGAAGTGGGTAAAGATTGTAGGCATGCCTCTAAACTACGGATTTCTGTGGGTAGCAAAAAAGTCAAGATTTAAAATACCATCCTTTCAAATACAGGGATTTCACAAAAATCGCTAGACACACACTCATCAGGTAAGACTCAGAGGGATCCTGGTTAAGAAAGTCAAACCTCTTGAACACACAATCCTCCACTCATTTTTGAACTGGCCTGAATGATGACACACTGGAAAATAAAAAAAGGCACCAAGCAATAACTTCAGACACTACAGTGAGCTGTGCTAACTAGTGATTTGTACACCTATCCCCAGGCACCCTTCTCTCCAAAGGGCACCACACACAGAAGATATTCAAGTGCTTTCAGTCAAAAAAAACCAAAAAACAAACCAAAAAAACCCCACAAATTGCAAACCATTAAGCAATTCCACAGGCCTAAAACTCAAATGGAAAGCAAGAAAACCTTGAAGTGGAGAAAACTGACACTGTGTAGTTGTTCTTATTCGCAGGTCTGACTTAATTAAAGTGGAACTCTGAAGGTAAAATCATTTGTGCAATAAGGACACTGTTTGTAAACCAGAGCCACTGCCCACCCGGCGCCGCTACCGAATGCTGTCCAAAAAATGCACTTCTGGGTACAGCGTGTTCACCAGCAGGGACAGGAGGTTGTTGCCATCCTGAAGGCAGTGCTCAGGGTGCCTGATGAACACACAGGCCTGGGACAGCTGCTCCTGGTAATCCATGTATTGTTTGTTGGATGGCATGGCTTCGAGAGCACTCAGTGCCTACGGGGAAAAGGGAAAACTCTGTTAGTTTTGTGTATTTTGGTCCACAACACAACACCATCTGCACGATTCCCCTGAAGGATCCTCACCTACTGCAGAACACAGAGTACTCAGAACAAAACAGTTGGAAACTGTCATCTCCTAACAGTGTTTCAAGTCAACTTGTATTTTTCAAGCTGTTCTCTCCCCAAGATCAACACAAAAACTGTCCTATTATTGCTTCCTAATATTCTGTAAACCAAATATTGTCAAATATCTACTTCATGAACTCAAGACACGGTTTCACAGAAATTATGTCAAACTACAGGTTGCAACACACTTAAATCTTCACTTTATGTTGTTCTTATGAATATATTGACTTTAATGGAAGTATTGTTTTGCTCCTATTAATAGTATTAAAGTTAAATATTAACTGTCAAGTTAAAAATCATATGTTGGCAGGACTAGCAAGGTCAAATGTAGAAAATATTTCTGAACAAGTTTTGTTCTTTTCATAGAGAAACAAGCTGTACCAAGCTACTTTACTTTGGTTTCTAACCAACTCCTCCTCCTTCTTCTCAAGAACTAACTGAAAGAACACCATGGTCAGTGCACATGCTAAAGGGGGAATGTTTATTTGTCACAGGCCTTTTAAGCCCTGACCTCACATAAACAAATGTCAGCATGAGCGTAGCCCTGCTTTATCACTGAAAAGCAGTGCAAATCACAGCAGCACTGTTTTTTCCTGTTTGTTTTAAATTCCCTCTACCTGCTGCTCTCCAAACTTTCTGAGTCGGGCTTTACAGACATAAGTTCATCTGCCCCTTTTAAATGTGTAAGATTCAAATTTTTGAAAAAGAAGGAATTCTTCATATTAACACAGAACACTGTATAAAGCTGTACCCAGGATCACCCTTAGGACAGAGTCAAACACACAGTCCTGCTGCCAAAGTTTAGCAACAAACTGAGAGCAGGATTTACCTTGAAGAAATACTTGCGACTCTCGTGTAAGAGTCACAAATACTTGTGACTCGTACAAAGCTCCTTCAAAAGCTAAAGGAGCCCACAGAGAGGGCAGGCAGAGATGGGCACACCTCACCTGCTGAGCCTTCTGAGACAGCCGGGGCTCCGAGCCGGCCTTGAGGCGCACCTGGCTCTCGGCAGGGATCTGCACCAGCAGGAAGGCGGACAAACTGCGCGCAACCACGCGGAACCTGCACGGGGACACCGAGGAACAGCGTGACACCACATCTGCAACTCTCAACTGTAAAAGCTACCCACGAGGCACCTCTTGCATGAGGAATGAAGTAAACTTGAGAGGATCTATTCCAATGCATCAGAAGCCACTTCAGTATCACAGAACCCCAGAATGGTTTGGGTTCGGAGGGACCTTAAAGCTCATCTTGTTCCACCCCCTGCCATGGCAGGGACACCTTCCACAAGACCAGGCTGCTCCAAGCCCCATCCAGCCTGGCCTGGGACACTTCCAGGGCTGGAAGGGGATCCCAGGAATTCTCTGGGTATACACACAACAGGACACAGTACATACTAGAAGATAATGCAATACCTTTATAGGAAATCCTGCATCTGTTTCAAGCCTAACTGAAATACTCCTCAGCTGACAGAATGTAAAACATTACTATTACCCAAATCAAGGGATGAGTTGAATGACACCAGGGATTCAGGGCAATTTGAACAGCAATGCATCCCAGAAGGTCTTTAAAAACATGAAGTTATGTTTAGGTGCAGGGTTGAGCTGCTGTTCCATAAACATTAGTGGGATTTTTCCTCAGTATTTTTTCCAGAGTGAACTTGATTTTGACTCCTAACAATCAAACTTGTCTCTGTTTAGAAGGTAGAGTGAATCACAATGGTCCTTTGTGCATCACTTAACATTTCCAATACCTCAAAGTTAAGACAGAAATTCCAATGTGTCTGTTTTTATACAAAATTTTGGGAAGTGAAATAGTTTTCTATAGACCAGGTGGAAGTACCTTCCTCTAACCAGCACTCTGCCTACAAACTTTGCTTGAGGGGGACATTAAGTCAGATTCAGAACTGCATTTTCTTTCCTTTTCCACCACAACCTTTGCAGAGGTTCATACTTGCTTCTTAAGCTGATTAACACACTCACTGTGCTGTTTCTGTGACAGGCCCAGAGAACATTACAGCTCTGGGGGCAATGTGGATTCTGATCCCCTTTCAACACTGCGCTGGGCCCAGACTGGGCATGCTGGACCCAGGTTTTTAAACACCATGACTCAAACCAAGGAATTCCCCAGAGCTCCAGCCCTCACCTGGGTGACAGAGGAGACCTCCTGCCCAGCCCAATAGCACCAAGTATTCCAGAGGTGAGTCTCTCTTCAGCCAGCTGGCTCTGCCGGGCCTGGATGGACAGCAGGGTCCGGATGACAGATTCAATCAGCACGGGGTCATCCTGCTCCAGCTGCACCAAGGACAACTGCATGGCTTTGTGCCACCACAGAAACAGCTTTGCCTCTTCCTTTGCTGAGCTTTAGGTAAAATTTAAGGAAAAACGTAAGAGAAAATAAAAACTTAAGAATCAGAGCACAGGTTAAGAAGTTTATTCCCCTCCCCATTAGGTCCGTGAAGCTTGTTAATTAATAGCAGCTAATTTTATCACATGAGGATAGCATAACTATACTACCCCACCAGTTACTATACTGCTACTGTTATGGATTTGATCCACCAGCTAGCAGGTTTTAAAGGCCTGTAACTGGACAAAGAACAGTGCTTCCTTTTAAGCTTTACAACTGGAAATAAATGATATTGCAGTCATAAGTGGATTTAAACTTGCCTAAGACTTGGCACAAAAGGAACGAAGCTGTATCTCTACTCGTTTGTTCTTTTCTTTACTTACCAATAAAAGATTTTAGGAAGCACTGGATGTTGTTACCACAACAACTCAGATGCTTAATATGATCATTGCGAAAAGGAAACATTGAAGCTTTTTGTTGAGTAAAGCCCAAAGTGAAGTTCCCCCTATGCTATTTTTAATCTTTCCCCAAACAGTTGGCAGCTTAAGTTAACAAGCTCAGATTTTCCACATAAAGCACCATCACGAGTTTCCTGCATCAGACTATCCTCACATTCCTCCTCCCAGTCATTTCCCATCACAGGCAATCTCACATCTGATGTTTAGAGCAAGGTTTAATCTGCTTTATATGGTGGCTTTGCTGTCTCCTTCATACCTTGGCAATGAAATTACTACAGCACCCACCACAGTGAAAGTATTTTTTGAATTTCAAGAAACAGTGGGAACATACATTTTTCCAAATTGTTCTTTTACAGAAAATATGAACATTATCAACATTAACATGGAAAAATAATAATCAGGTTTACTAAATCCTGGCAATACCAGGAGCAACTCTAAACCATTTCCACATGTATCAAATATTTTTATTTTGACCCCAAAGCTATGCATCCTTTCCCCTCAGAACCCAATAACACTAACAATCTAAATAACAGTTATCTAGGATGTTTTGCAGCCGCACAGGCTGCTAACCCTGGGCATCCCATCAGATGCACTGGCTCCAGGTTTGGTTCAGAGCTGCTGCACAGTCTCCATCCCAGCAGCTTTCAACACCAGGTCTCTCAGAGTGCCAGACTGAATATCCAGCACATAACCCATCCCACCTTGTGGACACACTGGGAAGTGTAACCCACAATCATTCAGGGCTTGAGTCATTTTAACAGAGCACAAATCCAGGCTGTCACTGAAACCAAGCTCATCTGACTGAAAAATAACTGGAACTCACTAATTTTCTAGCAGATTGAATTCCTTCTTCCATTTAACCACCACAACTACCTTCAGCTGGCACTGCAGATGGACAGACCCTGTATTTAGGAGATATAGCAGGACAGGCAATTTCATTCAGCACTCTGGATGAAATTGCCTGTCCTGCTGTATCTTCTAATTATTTAACCAGGGCTAGCTAACTGCACCAGCTATACTATCTAATTAAACCAGCTATATAACCTAATAAACCCTAAATGAACTTTAATCTAAATAACAATAATAATAATCCATAAGTCCAGGCACATTCAGAAGCTCCAAGTTTCACACCTGGGGTACACTTGCTCCAGCCATTTGCTGATGGTCAGCAGGATCTTCATTTCGTTGGTAAGGGTTTGGTCAGTGTTCAGGCATTGCAGCAGGTACACATAGAGGGTCAGGTAACTCCCTAAAGACAGGCACTCCTGCAGGAATTCTTCCATGGTTAGCTCAGGAACTTGGAGGGAAGCAAGTATTGGGCCCCAGCCCAACTCCTGGTGGTGAGGGGAATCTTTGAAGAAAGAAGGAAAGAACAGAAAGCATGTGAGAAAGCAGCACTTGATAAAACCTAAAAACCAGCACTCCTAGTTAAGAGAATCTGGGCTGGTTAAGCTGTTTTTCAGGTAATCAGCATGCTATGCAACTCTGATGGAGAGAACAGAAAATTCCACTATCATAGGGCACCTCCTTGAGGTCAAGGTGAGATATTTTCCCAGCATTCAGCCAGGACTAAAATTTGAACATTCTAGCAATGGAATTAGAAGTATTTCCCTCAGGTGTACTGAAATCTTCCACACAGTGAAAGAAATAAAAATGTAGTTCTACAAGGATTATGTAAACAGAAAGAAAAGAAAAAAAATCATGCACACTTTGAGACTTTTACCAAACCAGAGTGGTTTTGTTAAATTAGCTTAGAACACTAGAGAAGGGGGAAGATGTCTTCAGTTCTCCTGGGGTGATTTTTTTTTAATAAAACCACTTTATCTGGAAAAATGGCAATACTACACAGAGCAAATCAGTTTTCACAGAGATGGGTATGGATACTAATAAAACACACGATTAGGGGAGCTGTAAGCCCTAAACCACATTCACAGAATCCCAGAATGGTCTGGGTTGGAAGGACATAGGAGACCATCTTATACCATCCCCTGCCATGGGCAGAGACACCTTCCATTATCCCAGGTTGCTACAAGGCCCATCCAACCTGGCTTTGGACACTTCCAGGGATGGAGAAGCCACATCTGCTCTGGGAAACCTGTTCCAGAGCCTCCCCACCCTGAAAATGGAAGAATTTCTCTCTGATATCCCATCTACCCTTGTGAAGCATTTCCCCGTGGCAGAGGGGCTGGAACAAGGTGATCTTTAAATGACCCTTCCAAGCCAAACCAGTCCATAATTCCAGACAATTTGTACTCAGTGGCATCCCATGTCAGATGAAGCCCTTTTCTGACCCAGAGATGGGGCAACTGAGAGGCATTTTAAAAACTTTTATTCTGTTTTCAGTCTCATGTGAAGGGTGAGACAATACAGATATGATAATTCATGCCATCACCATCAGAAGCCAACTATTTCCTAATTACAATACACTAATAAGTGTTTCTTGGTCTATCAGCTTATGCCATATCACGCTGTAAATGCCTTAAAGCCAATCACCTAAAACTACCCTTTGTGGGTCCAATGCATCTTTCATAGTTCTATTTCTCCAAAGTAGCCAGTCTTATTTGCAAGGCCATCCTTTGAAACTTGTTTCTAGCTCCATTTCTCTCTCAACAATGTCTGTTCTATTCCATGGCATTTCTAAGTCAGCATTTCTTATCTCAAGGTTTGCATACAGATGCACACTGTGTGGGCCATCTATGGTACATCAGTTCAACACTGTCAAGTTTTCCTGGTTTTACAATTTGGAGCCATTTCTGAGTCACAGAACATAGAATATTCAGGGTTGGAAGGCACCTTAAATACCATCTAGGCTCCAACCCTCCTGCCATAGGCAGGGACACTTCCACTACATCAGGCTGCTCAAGCCTTACCCAATGTGCCCTGGAGCCCTGCCAGGGCTGAGGCACCCCCAGCTTCCCTGGGCAACCTGTGCCAGTGCATCACTGTGATGGTGTTCACAGGGGTGTCAGGTTGAGGGAAGAGATGAGGATCTGACTCCATGCTTCAGAAGCCTTGGTTTATTATTTTATGATATATATTACATTAAAACTATACTAAAAGAATAGAAGAAAAGATTTCCTCAGAAGGCTAGCTAAGAATAGAATAATAAGGAATGATAACAAAGGTTTGTAGCTTGGGCTCTCTGTCCAAGCCAGCTGATTGTGATTGGCCATTAATTACAAACATCCAACATGGGCCAATCACAGATGCACCTGTTGCATTCCACAGCAGCAAATAATCAATGTTTACATTTTGTTCTTGAGGCCTCTCAGCTTCTCAGAAGGAAAAATCCTAAGGAAAGTATTTTTCACAAAAGATATCTGTGACACATCACCACCCTCACAGTAAGAAGCCAGGCCCCGAGAACTCTCCACAACTCCACTTCCCCCACCCCCAGGGACAGGCCCGTACCGTGGCTGAAGTAGGAGGTGATGCAGGCCTCGGTGGTCTCGGCCATGTGGCGCACGGAGGCCAGGCTGTGG